ATTTGGTTTATTGGTCTCACTCATCACATTAAAATTTTACTTAATCCAATGATTTTGACCCTCATAAATAGATTTTGAGTGAATGTTTTAATATATTTCCAACCTTTTGTCTGTCAGTTTGATGGCTATAACCAGTCCCATGTCCATTCTCTTTTAACTGGAGAGTATTTCAGTGCCAACCTTTGCTCTCTTTCCCAAGCACTAATAAAAAATTAAGTTGCAATTATCTAAATATTCTGAATGATGAGATTTTAGATCTTTTTCATTCTTGCTTGCCCTGAAACCCATTATTTGAGTGTTCAAGGAAATGAAATGAAGAAATTGGGAAATTATACTTAGTGATATAAATTCAGTGTCATCTTGGGGCTGTTTGTGTGTGTTTGAGATTTTCTGGCCATTCCTAGAAGGGAAAGAGATTCAGATTAATTTGTGACATATTAATGATGCCTGGTTGAAATAGATTTGTAACTTGTAATGTTTAATAGTGGTGAGAAAGTTTAATTTGCCCTCTCTTTTACCCATGTTATAAAAAAAGAGAATATTTGAGTTGAGAGAGAGTGAAACACCAAGCAGGGAATATTATCTGGCTCCTTCTTTTTATTTGCTTTCCGTGAGCTTTACCCTAAAATTCTTCTAAATGTCTGTCTTCATAATGGCTTTTGGTACTGTTATTTTTGGGTGACCTAATAAAGAATGCAACACAAGAAACAAGTATAAGGGCTTTGGGCCCTGCAGACAAATATCTGCTATCAATCATGAAATTTACAACAGATACTAAAAAGAGAAGCAATTTCACAGAGAAAGTATCTAGAATGGCATAATGTCATCACAGGAAAAGACTCTAAATGACATTTAATTCCAGTGTACTCCAGAAGTGCAACTGCTGCTTCATAAATCATCTGCATTAAAATATTGTGTTAAAGGGCTATAAAAACGGAGGTATCAATGCATGTATTTTAAAGTGTTTGGCCTCAAAATTAAGTCACTCCCTTGAGACTGATAAGAAAAATAGCTGTCTCCTACACAAAACTTCATGATAGAACTTGTTGAATCTCAGGATTGCCATAGAAGAAGAAATTTCAAAGTATTCAATCAGTGACTTGTAGACTTATAAATGCTGTGAGTTGCTTTCCATACTATGCTGCTCCTGCATCACGTGACCATCCAACAGCGTTCTGAAGGGGTCGGGGAAAGAGTGGACCAGTTGTCCAGGTTGAACTTCTGAAGAAGGGAAATACAGTATGGTAGAAAGTGGGCTGGCTATAAGACAACCCATGAATTGGACATATAGACATCTGTATGCATTATATGAAAAATATTAAATGAATATTTCAGTTGAGGCATCAAGACAATCAATGCACCAATTCAAAGGGATCTGTGAAACCATGAAGCAGCATTTTCCTTTGTAGTTTCATGGAAAATTCCAAACATTTACAGCAAATAAAATTGCCTAATGAATCCCTAGTATCTATCACTTGGCTTTGACACATGGCCAGTCTTGTTTCATCTCTTTCCTTACTTTCTCCACTAGTGCATTACTTTAAAACAAATTTCAGACATCGTATCACTTGATCTATAAATACCTTAGTACACATCACTAACAGATAAAGATTCTGCAATGTTTAACATAGCAACAATACTACTACCCCTCTGAAAAATTTAACTATATCCCCTTAATATCGTCAATCATCCAGCCAGTGTTTACTTTTTCCCAGTTGCCTTGTAACTTTTTTGTAGATAGCATGTTCGAATTAGGATCCAAACAAAGTCCGTGAATCATACTTGGTTGATGTGTCTCTTCAGCCTCTTTTACTTTATTGGTTTTTCCCCCTTTTTACTTTTTCCCTTTGTAATTATTTGTTGAAGAAACTGGGATGTTTGTCCTGTAGTTTCCCATATTCTGGATTTTGCTGATTGCATTCCTGTTTAATAAGCTCTCTGTTCTCCTTGTAAACTTGAAGAACACCACATTTTTAAAAAAGATGGCCAAAACCAAATCCTCTTAACCCTTCCCTCACAAAGAGGACAGAAAGAGTAAGGGTTATAAATGGAGAGGATGTTCAAAGAGAGGAGTTGGTATGCTATGAGTTCTTTTACACCTCAAATCAAGAGAAAAAGGCTTTAATGAGACACTCTGAGAGCTTAATATAAGCCCTCTGCATTTAGTCGGTGTTTGGATCCTGCCTAGGAAATCTAAAGAGTCAGTAATGGAAGCACCAGCTTCTCTGATGTAAAGCCAAGGAGGGCCAACTGTGTTGAGATTTGCACTCCTGACATTTATCAGACTAGAGGATGTGTGAGATCATCTTGCAGACCATAAGTGTGACAGAATGGCATGGGGTTAATTTAGACTCTAACAGAAGACCACCAGACAGAAGGCACTGGATGCCTATGGGTAGAAGAAGGAGCAAGATTGGCCAGAACACAGGTGGATTTGCCCTTGGTAACAGAACTTGAAGGAGAGCTCTCAAGCGGTTTTTAAGGGATAGTTCTCCCAAGAACGGAAGAAAGCTCCTAGGAACGCGAGTCTGATCCTGTTTTCCGTCTATTTCACTGTCCAGTTGGAAGGAACAACTTGATTGGAGAGTCAGAGTTGATGCCTTGTGATTGGAGCACATGGGAAGAAAGACAAAAGTTACAAGGAATGGACTCAATTATTCCTTGAAGGCATTCAACTCAATCCAAAATCATGATGATACCTGAACTTAATGTTTGTTCTTTGGTTCCTCCTCCCCAATTCTAGAATATAAGTGCCACGATGGACAGGAACTCTTGCCTGTATCACCAGCAGCTATGACAACAGTGTCTGGCACAAAAGTTGCTCAAGAAATTTTTGTTAACTAACTTACTGCTACTTTAACCTATCCTGATGTCTTATTTAAATCTTAAATATGGGTATCACTTCAGCAGGCTTTCCAACATTTATTTAATGACTATCAGATTGATCTCTTTTGCATTCTTTGGAAGGAAAGAATATCCAAGCTTCTTAAGTGATCTTTTCTTTTATTTAATTTTATATACTCCAAGACGTAGATCTTAGAATTTCAGAAAGTGAGGAGAACGACATCAATCCTCTTATTCTGCAAATGAAAGAACTCAGAAAGGATAAGCGTCTTATCCAAAGGCAGAGCAAATACACTAGAATATGGTTTTTCCATCAAATGAGCTATTTACTACTTCTTCCATTTGTATTAGATCTGTTCTATTAATTAGATTGTGAGCTTATTGTTGATTTATATTTCTACCTAAACTTCCACAGCATCTATTCTAGCACTGGGCACACATGTGGTCTTCAGCAGACACAGGTTTCTTAATTGATTTATTGGGCTATCAGAATGCGACTCAAAACAATGTGAAGAAAAATACATTACAAATACATTGCAGAAAAGGTTATGTTACCCAAGTCCTTCCTTCCAACATTTAAATATTATTACAATCATAATTGTTTTAAGTGAAATAGCATTTTATACTTAGAACTGTCTTCACATGAGTGTGTAAAGACAAGGTATTTAAGAAAAGACTTACCCAGAGTTTCGTTTGCTGTTTGAGCCAAAGTTTCCCCATTTAGAGAAATAAAGGAAAACTAATTCGGAAAAATATTCTTCTTAAAAAAGTGTATAAAATAGCAAAGGTCTAAATAATTCTCTTTGCTAAGGCTGAATTTAGTTTAATGGACAGAGTTTAGTTTAATTGGGCTCAGAGTTCATCTGTAGACTTGGTCTGTCATGAAGGAGCTGTGTGACGCTGAGTTTAATGCAACTTCATGTACTTTTATTTTCTCATCTCTACTATTTCTATGCAGAGCTCAGTGGGTAAAATAAGGTAATAAAAGTAGAAGCAGTTTTGAAATGATAAAAGTCTATTGATACAGAAGGTTCTATGTGACTATGGAGGTTTCTCATGCTTAGCAGCAAAAAAGAAAAAGTCTTGCTTCAGCAACTATTAACTATTTAGAAAGATAGATCTCAGAGAAAAGGAAAGTAAAGGTGCCTCTCTATGGATAAGTGTCATTTATGACAGTTTCCTAAAGTTGGAATGTGCCCCACTGCTAGTCCAGGAGGTGACTTTAGATGGTACATGAGTGAACGTTTCTAAATTATGTGCTCATTTCAAAGTATTTTAGAAAAAAAATAAAGCACCAAGACATCAGACCTTTAATATAACAGATATGATTGCTTTCAACAAAATTATTTAGGCAAAAAGTTATCTTTTTAATGTAAAAAATTAAGACGGTACATAAATATGGTAAATTAATAATAAAAGTTTTTAAATGACTAAAGCTTCAGAAATCATTTTCTACCATCATTTGTGAAGATTAGTGGGCCTTTGGCTTCTGTTTGAGAAACTCAGAGAGGAAAATTCCCTGCTGGCCCAGCAAGCTTCCTCCACCTTCAGATACCTCTGAACACCTCAACATCTCGCTCTTATCTGTGTAAAGCCCATTTCACGGCAGCATCCAACATTTGATCGCCGTTCTGCAAAGTGAGGACACCCAGAACAAGTCTACAGTCTTTCACCAGTCCTTGGTCCTCCACCCCACTGCCCACCGAAAACGTTGTACAGAAGACAGCAGAGTTGACCTTTAACAATACAGATTGGCGACACTGTCATAGTTTCAGTTTCCTGAATCTCTCCATCCTTTACACAAATTTCGATTTTGGCCAATTTTATGTGGACTAATAATTTCCTTTTCAACTTTAAAAATTGGGAGAAATTTGTTCATATGCTTTGAATTTTATTATACCTAGAGAATTCCCAATCTGTTAGAGTTTCTGGGGGTAAAAGGGTCATTCCAAATTTGAAAATGATTTTCCTGCGATATATTTTTACCCTTTTTAAAATTAAGATTTTCTGCTCACTGAAGGCAAGCAAACTTGAGTGTTCCAGCCTCTCATTGTTTTCTAAACTTGGTTTACATTGGACCTTTTGTTTTCAAGCTATAACTCTGCTATCATTTCTTTAGGAGATGTGAATTATACTAGGAAAAAGAAGAGAATTCGTTTAACTTTTTTAAAAGTACATCAGTGTATTTTATTCCAAATCACTTCCTTGTACTGAGACTTCTGAGATCTCATGAACACAGCAGCTTCTTATTTTTTCCCACATGTGCAAAGAAACTAGAAATGAGGAATAATGCAGAGGACCAAGGCTGGAGCATCAGATCTCTAAGAAACCCTGCTTTCCGTCTATTTCAGTGTCCTGTTGAGTGAAGTGGTTTGACTGGAGAAGCAGCGCTGATGCCCTGTGACTAGAGCACATGCAAAGAAAGACATTAGTTGCAAGAAATGGAATTAAGTAATTTATTTATGTCTAATTCTCCCAAACCCACAACATCATTATAATTCTGCCAATCCTAGGGCAGCCCTGATGAGAGGTGAGCTGACCAACTTCCCAAATCAAGCCCCTAGGCCAGGAGGGACCTCGAGTAACCAGTGACCTCCTGAGAGTTTTTCCAGTGGAAGTGAGTTTCTCCTCTGGGAATATTCTTTAAAAAAGAAAATCTTACTACCCCGACTGGGCTTTCTACTAAACTTGTGACTACCAGAGCAAGAAAATCTATAGTGTTACTGTCATAACTAGGTGAACTGTTTCATGCCAGAATGCCAGTGTCAGAGTCTGGTTGGGATGGAAGAAGAATTGAGGCTGAAAAGCAATAATGGAGGAAGGGAGCTGAGAAGCTGACTTGGCTAAAGAAACTGGATCCCCAAGTGAGTAGCAAGTACTTAAATGGATGTTGTACAAAAAAGAAGAGTGAACCTGGGCTTGATTCTGGCTAATATCATGGGCTAGTTAACTTCATGGATGGGGCAGACCAAGGGGATGGGTGATATATTAAAGTCAGTCTCGCAATGACACTGTAAATCTGGGAGTGACCAATCCATCTGTAACACACCCTCACACACACACATCAGGGTACCTTTCCATGGCCTCCATTAGATTCGACTTCTCTTCCCCTACATTCCTCTTGGCTCAATCCATCCCAGCCTTGCTGTTTCTCTGGAGTTCTCTGAACATATCAAACATACACCCAACTCAGAACTTAGCACCAGCTGTTCGCAAGATCACGATTAGCCTTAAGATTGCCTTTGTGTGCATTAGGAAAGGTGTCCCTTTCTCAAGGCCTGCCCCTACATGGCTGCCCAGGGCCCTTTCCTCTGCCCGGCACACTCTTCTCAGATATCTGCACTGCTGGTTCTGTCACCTCCTTCAGGGCTTTGTAAATATTATCATGTTAAGGATGCTTTTCCTGACCACCTTTTGTTAGACTTGTACTACTCTCCTCCACTCAGCACACACTCTTTCTCTCCCTTGCTTTATTTTTCTTCACGGCACTTACCACCTTCTGATATGCTACACAGTTTACTCGTTCATTGTATTGGCCTTTTCACACTTAAGGGTAATCCTTCCAGGATGGCAGGCATCTTCTTGCCTGTTTTATTTGCTGCTGTATTCCCAGAACCGAGAAAAGCACCTGGAACAGAGTAAGTGCTCAAATATTTGTTGAATTTTCATTTAAATACTCCTTGTTATCTGTCTGTCTCTGTCTCTAGATCATTTCTCTCCCTCTTACCTTTCTATTACCTTACAACTGAGGTTAAACCATAACAAGAGTTTCTTCATGGATTCTATTCTTTCCTTTTAGATTTGTTTCTTCTTCCTACAACCTGAATCCCTTCAGATTTTATAGCTCTGATTAGTGAAACAGGCTGTTCAAATTAATTCCTATTGGGACACTATTTTTTGCCCCAGGCCACTGGTCAGCTTGTAAATCAACTTTCTTGGATCCCACACTTAGACCCCCCAGCTGTGGCTCAGGGTTCAAACAATGGTTACCCAGGGCCATCTGCCTTACCTCCCTTGGGTGAGGCAGATACCTAAACTATCCAGCTGTCAAAATTATTGGTTTAGTTTTATAAGATCTGGAAATGTGATTTGAGTCGGATATCAAAGGTTTTAAAAATATGTTCATCTGCATTACCCTTTCTCAACCTACTTCCAGTTAATTCTTTTTAAACGTCCTTTATCTCATGTAATGGTTAGTTCCCCTGGCTAGAGATCTCAGGCCTCATAAATGATTACCATCCCTTGTCAATTCTATTTTTGAAAGTTCGCTTGCATGTGCGTCTTTCTCTGAATTCCCACATATGCTTCCTTAGTTAGATTTCTCTAGACCGAACTTCTCTCTTCAATAAGTATTACATAACTCTACCAGAATATCATTTAAAAATACTGATGAAACCATGACATTTTTCCCTTCAAAATCTCTCCATGATCTTAGCTAGTTCAAGAAGACAAGAAAAAGAAATAAAATGTTAAAATATTTGAAAAAAGAAGGGAAATGTAGATCACATGATTGTGCAAAGAGAATACAAAAGCATCTGCAAATAATCTAATACAATTGATAAATAAATTTAACAAAATTGTTAGATACAAGGTAAACATACAAAAATCAGTTATTTTGATCTCCTAGCAACCAAAAATGGGAGAAAATTACAAAATAAAACAATTCCATTAATACTAGCATCAGAAATTAAATATTTAAGAATATATTTAATAAAAGATGTATAAGAGCTCTACACCAAAAATTATAAAACATACTAGTGGATGTTAAACAAATGTTAATTAAATTAACACCAAATACTTGTGTTTAGAAAATATTCTCCAGTCACTTTTGGAGCTGTTGCATATACTTAGACCTAGGTAGAAAAAGAAATAGTCTTGTCAATTTACTTGGAAATACAAATGTGCTTTGCTCATCTTCAGCAAAATAGATTTTTATACTTTTGCAGGAATTTCAAACAATTTTAAAAATATTTTAGTGACAGTCTACACATTAAATTTTCTTTTATTTTGTCTTCATGAATGTTAAATGCATAGAGAAATAAAGCTGGGGGCTGGGTACATTTCTATACATTTGAATACATGTGTTTGTTGTGTAAAACACAGGCATCAGATTCAAAGAGTCATTTATATTTCTGGTGGCATGCTTCCTTTTTCAATAGCTGTGGTTTGAGTACCTGAATACATGTCATTTTGGTCAAATGACAAAATTATTGAATTTAAATACAATTTTTAAAAGCTGCATGAAGCAAGATTTGTTTGTTTGCGTTTTCCTTGAATGGAGCCTTGTCAAGTACTTGGCTGGGTTCAACACTGCTGAAAGTTTGCCCTTGATTGTGACTGCCCTCCACAAATGTAGGAGAGCAGCCAGTTTCAACATATGACCCTCAGGGTTCATTTGGGGTTTTGATGGCAGGGTGCAAAAATATATATATTTGCTTTTGTTGGTTGAACATCTTAACTGGCATTTTTTTAGATGTTTTCTGACTATATAAATTATATCTGGATATTAAATCGTTGGTACAAACATTTCCTATTTTGAAGAAACTAATTAGGTCTAAATGACTAATTCCCAGTTGCAGAGTCATGAACACAAAATACGATTCATGGAAGTAGGCATGACTTCATATCCAGGACATGGTAACGCTTTATTTGTGTGCATTTAAGGAAGACAGGGGCAGAAGTTCATTTGCTGCACCTGTTACAAAAAGTTGTGAAGGCAAGTAAGAGTCTGGAATCGTCCGCACATCATGCCCAGTGGCACTTCAAGAATGACCGCCTATGCCAGCCCCACGCTGGCCCTCCTGCTTCTTGTGTTACCATGACTCACACGCAGTCAGTCCAGAGCAGGAAGGAACGGAGAGGAGAGACTCAAACCCTGCACTGAGTCAGGGTTCAACAAAGGAGGCTGTCGGGGTGGGGTAAAGAGTAGAGCAAGCAGTTTTATAACAAGCGATAGGTTGGCATTTGTTGATTTAAGAATATTTACAAATTACATACATTATTCTCATCAGTTCAGCTTCTGAATTTGAATCAGGGGTTATCTGCATCCTACACATTTTTTAAAAAGCATTAGCAGTTTCTAAGAAATTCAGGTTACGATTTTATACAAATCCTTGGTTCCTACTGTTTTGGAACTCTCCATCTGCTCTTCCCAGTGAGAAGGAAAACACGGCAAAGGAGGCTAGCTTACAGAAGCTGCTCTAAAGGGGGTGTGTTTCTCAGCTGAGATCTGGATGCTTAGCACGTACGGAAGCCTAAAGGTCACCTGTTATCTGCCATTCCCAGAATGAAAGCAACAGGGGACAGTGGTTTTGTTCTATTTTATTTTGCTCCAGCATGCATTTTCCTTTTTTCTAGTCATCATTTCTTTTTATTTTATTTTCTTACTTGAAATAAAATTGATGTATAACATTATATTAGTTTCAAATGTCCAACATAGTGACTTGATATTTATATATACTATGAAATGATCACCACAATAAGTCTAGTTAACATCCATCAGCACACACAGTTACAGGTTTTTTTTCTTGTGATTAGAACTTTAAAGATTTACTCTCTTAGCAACTTTCAAATATACAATCCACCATTATCAACTAGTCACCATGCTGTACGTTACATCTCCAGGATTTATTTATCTTATAATGGGAGGTTTGTACCTTTTGACACCTTTACCCATTTCCTTTCCTTTCATTTTGTATTTTTAAACAGCATCCTTACTGCTATGATCAGAGGCCTGATGTCGTCTGCTCAAAGATGAATCTAGACCAATCAGGTGCTTTGTTTTAGAATTTTAATCTTGAGTAGAAAACAGACCAAAATGGTTAGGCTCCTTCGCTCCTGCTGGTGTGAACCTCCTTGTCCTTGCCCGGCCGTGAGACCACGCTGGTGGTTCCTGCTTCCTAGCTTTGGGAGCTGACTTGCTTCCCGAGCATGCTGAAGCCTTATTCTTTACCTGCTGATAAACTTTGAACCCTTCTTCCCCCTCTGATATCCTTCCAATAAATTCTATGTCTGTAGCTTTCAACCCAAGAGATTTCACAGGCATGTTACTTATAATTTCATTTTTACAATTTCATGTAGAATGCAAATGATCATAATGCAAGTGACATTATCAAATATAGAGTAAATCACTTATAAATATTTTACATTTGTTGTTAATAACAAAGTGTAATTACCTCACAATTATTGAAACAAACATGCATCAAAACATTGTGGTTGAAAAATGCTAATATTCAGCCTTAGAAGCTACCGCCTACTGGCAACCTGTTCCATGTTAGCTTTAGGAGAGATGGTCTCTGGGATGCTTTCTAGGCATAGGGGTCTGGGAACTGATGACAACATAATCATACCATTTGGAGGACTACTGAAGTTGGGGTAAATTCTATCCAGAGGGAGCCTTTGGCTAAACTGAAGTGGAAACAGGATAAATAGCTCTATCACACTGACTTTGGGACTTCACCCTTGGTGTGCAAGTCATGTTTGTGGGTTTTCCGATTGTGGGAATGTAGTATATAGGTCATTCACAACTACTTTCATAATTATAGCCACTATATAAGAGAACTGCCTCACTGACAGAGCCTGCTGAGATAGCATCTGTCTTGTATTTGAACGGCTGTACCTTTGTGCTCATTGCTGACCGGACCGAGCAATGGGTAACAAACACTGGGACAGCCAATCCACAGTGTGACCAGTGGCCCATAGAGATGGCCTGGTATACAGAGCTCTGCCCACACAAGGAATAATGGTCATTAGCAAGGACAGGCCCTCCTTTCTCTTGGGGTTATAAATGGGAAAATTCATGAAGCATGATATTCAGATGGTAAAAAGGATGTATTTGTTAGCAGAGGCCATGAAAAGTTAAAGCTCTGAATAAATGGAAATTAGAAGTAAGTAGAAACCATACAGTATAAAAAAGGTAGGTGAGGGGCTAGCCATGGCCTAGCGGTTAAGTTCGCACACTCTGCTTTGGCAGTCCTGGGTTTGCTGGTTTGGATCCTGGGGTGGACCTACATACTGCTCATCAAGCCATGCTGTGGCAGCATCCCACATACAAAACGGAGCAAGATTGGCACAGATGTTAGCTCAGGGCCAACCTTCCTCACCAAAAAAGAAGAAAAAAGAAACAAAAAAGGTAGGAGAAGTAGACCAGAAGACTTCCACTTCTGGGAGATTAGACATCCTGAAAAACCTTCTTACCACCTGGAAATGCTGGCTACAATACAACAAATATCAATTTCAAAGCCCAACTGAGCTTTCAAACACATATACTTACATGCGTTCATGCATACATATATAAGTATACACATATGTGTATGTAAAAGCAATTTCTGGAAGCTAGAACCCGAGAGGCAAATGAAAACCAGAGCAGTAAGAGGGAGTTTAGGTAGGAGTGGCCAGAGGTATTTGCCAATCTTAGTAGCCAAGGATTTGGCTTTGACTTGATTTTGGAAATGGGAGATTAAGCTTTGAGGTACCCCAAGATGGAAGTTCTGAGTGCTCTGCCTAAAGCCAGGGCTGCAACCTCAGTGAGCTGGTGAAGGAGCAACGAACTGCCTGCAGCACAGGGAGACCACAGCAGAGTCCTCTGTCCCTCCCCAGAGTCAGGATGGGAAAAGAATCTCCTCCGTCATTTGTATCCATGAGCCTTCTGCTCCGTGGTTTTGAGATTTGAACTTATCCTTCCTGTAGGGTCTGGAAGCTGAAAATGGTGAAACTATTTTTTGAAAGTAGTAACGTCTACTTTCTATAATAATTTTGTGATGATTTTATAATAGTGTAAACATAACACAACTCTGGAGGAAGACACATTCTCAATGATCCCTGAAGAGGAGATCACCATCCAGGTCACAGACGCACTCAAGGAAGCAACCCACCACGTCGGAAAAATCGGCAGATCACAAAAAACATCAAGATCAGATCAATAAGAACTTCAGATAATAAAAACTTTAAACAAAGACGGTAAGTGTTTTTAAAAAGATATCAAAAGATAGGGGAAGACATAAAAAAAGAGGTAAGAATCAGGCTCCATCCAAAAAGATGAGGCATATTCTACAGAAATGCCAGGAACTTCAAAGAGGTTTTTTTGTTGTTTGTTTGCTTGCTTTTCATAAATATAGAAAAGCAATGGCCTAGAAGTAGCCACAGAAAAGGGGGAAGAGAGAATGTAAACATTGCCTTTGTGATGTTTTGATAATCACAGTGTGGGAAAATGAATACCCATCCCTTGCTCTTCAGGCCGGGAGCAAGATTTTAGTGTCAGACAAGATTGGCGAGTATGTTTTGGAGAATGCAATGTAGGATTTATTTTAATGGGAAAATGTTTTCAAAAGACATACTGGAAAGAATCAGGAGGAAGGTTAATAGAAGAAAAAATAGTTGGGAATGTAAGCCCAGAATCATACGGAAATAATAGTACTTGAGAGTATTTAGTTGACTAGAGATATTTGCATTCTGTCTGATGTCTCAGGATAGCCAGCAGAGAAGAATGACTGTGCTCTTTGCCCTTGAAGTGACACATTTGCATGTGAGATTAAGCGGTGTCTTAGGATGTTAGCGTCTTGAGATCTTTTCTCTTTAAACAAGGTTGCAGTGTTCTGAAAAGAAATTCCTTCATGTGAAGCTATGAAAACACATATAAACAATGGTACCATGCTGGGCACTCTGATCAATACTTTTCAGGCAATATCTCGTTTAATCTTCACTTTAAGCCCAGAATATAGGTACTACTCTTATCTCCATTCACTCGTGAGAAAATAGAGGCTCAGAGATTTTTTGTAATTTGGCCAATATCATATACCCTTAAGTTAGGGATGTTACACTTATAGTGTTTCAAAATATAAAAAGGAATTAGCTAGTCAGAGAAGTAAACGAAGAGTAATCTACATCATGTATACCACAGGTATGAAAGCACAGTCAAAAAAGATTGTGTGCTTTGTAAACGGATATGGCCAGAGGAAAGCATTTCTGTGGGAAGGCTATGGAAGGTAAAGCAGATGCATAGTCAGATATCAAAGTGTGGTAAGATTTGTGTGCTGAGCTGAATTTTCTCCTAAAAATCAATAAAGTTATCTATAAAGAAACGGGCTATAACCCGATTTTCATTTTAGGGAGATTACTGTTGTAGTAACATGGTGGATGGGACTGTCAGGGATTAGATTGGAAGCCAACAGACCAGCCAGGGTTGCAAGAATCTGGACAAGAAGCATCCCACTAAGACAATGGCCTTGAAGGTAGAGAGTTATTAAGGAGGCAGAATCTATGATATCCAGTAATTGATCGCGTGTGTGTGTGTGTGTGTGCGTGTCAGTGGAAAGGACTAAGGAGTGATTGAGGAGAGTGGGTGGCGATTCCATTCAGTGGGACACAGAATGAGAATTCAGTTTTGATTCACTTGAATGCGTGTTTTCCTTTGGAATATCAAAATGCTGTGGATGAAAATTCCAAGGCTTCAAACTTAGTTGTGCAAAACAACAAAAAGTAACCCAATTATCCACAACGTATTGTATTAGTCAGCTAATGCTGAGCAACAGATTACCCCCAAACTGAGCAGCTCACCGAGGTTCATTCCATTAGACAAAAGCCCTATTGTATGATCAAGTGGTTTTCTGAGGCGAAGCCTTAGCTTTTCATGAAGCCTTAGAGGATTTTATAGTCACATCCTCAGCTTCATCTTCAGATCGTGTTTCCTGATAGTATCCTGCGTAGGATCTTTGCCCAGAATCCACTTCTCAAAGCTAGCCATTTGTAGAGGTTGGGAATATTCAACCTTGGCAATTCCTGCCTCCTTTTGGCTAACAGTCCTTCCTTTACCTTCTCTCTCCTTTGTCTTTCTAATACAAGCATCAAGAAGAAATAAGGCAGCACCTTCAACACACTACCTGGAAACCTCCTTAGCTACCTGAGAGGTTAGTTGACCAGAGGGATTTGCATGTTTGGTGCCCCAGAACGGCCAATTGTCATTTGCACTTGACGTGACATCCTCACATCTGAGGTTCCAAGTGAGGTACCCAATTAATTGGCATATTTTCTACTTTCCCCATTACCACAGGTGGCAGTGTTGCTAACCTTTCTGCCCCTGGCATGGTAAGGATCCCCTTTCCTCCAGTTCCCAACAACATTCTCCGTACTTACCTTCAAGCCTTCACTGGCAGTCTCCTCAAATGCCACCAGGATTCTGCTAACAACCCACCTTCAAAGCTTTTACGTTTCCCCTAATACTCTCCTTAGAGTCCTTCCACTTTCTGCCCACTGCTCACTTATAAAGCTTCTCCTACCTTTTAGGTTTCTGTTATGTCAGCACCTCACATCCAGTTGCTGAAATCTACAGCCCTACCTGGGACTTGTTAGAAATGCAAATTATCAGGCTCCACCCCAGACCTATTGAATCAGAATCAACCACTGGGTGTGGACCCAACACTGTGGTTTAACAAGCCCTCAGGTGATTCTGACTTGGGCTAAAATGTGATACGGTCATCCTATACTCTCAAACATACAGAATCTGCCTGAGGTTTGTAGTTCATTTTCCCCATCAGCACCGCCCTGCTCCTCCTGCCCTCCTGGCCCTGGGGCTGAGGTTGGGCACAAGATTTTCTAATGGGGACACTGTCAGTACTGAAGCCTGCTTCCTCTTCAACTCTCAACCTCCTCTTTCCAGGCCAAATGTCCTCCAAATTGATGATTTAGGTGTACCCTTTATTACCTAGGTCACAGGGGCCCTGCCTTTTGATTCTCAAAATATTTTAAGCAAAACCTTTTTCTTGCACTTGTCTCTGCTGTAAGTTGAAAAAACTTAACACTTTTAGTAAGGACCAAACTCTGACTGGATTCAGGCAGCTGGAAATTGATAAGGATTTTTAGGCTGCTTAATTTTAAAACGGTTTATGATGAGGATTTTTAGGCTGGTTACTTTTAAAACTGCAGATGAGAAGCAGTCTCCGAGGACTGGAATTTTGCTTGCCCTTTTGAGACATTTGCGTTTGTGAAGGAAGGGGGGATGACCTTGTAGGGACCTGAAATTGGCCACCCCAGGATATGTCTCTTTGGCATCAGGATTGTTTTGGGCTGATTGCTTTCGATAAACTGGGACAGGGAAGGAGGCTCTGGGGAATGGAACTTGCCCTTGTTGGGACACATTTACATTTGTAAGGTAAATCTCTATCTGTAAAAGGTGCCTCCCTCTCTGTACCAGGAAGAAGAGGAGAGATGACCTTGTCCCTAGAAGCTCTTAATGGGGAAGGCAAGAATTTAAGTTGGTTGCTGTCTGGCAATCTCATGTAACTGATTTAGGGTGGTGGCTTCTGACCTTTACTTAATCCGATTTGATTCTTGTCTAAAAGTCATGGGATCACCCAACGACCAGATCCCACCTGCACTGATACCATTTTAACTTTTTTTCATGTTCTTTCCTTTGTCTTGTAAAGAGATGACTCACATACCTATGCCTTAAATTTAGCCCTAACCCTCAACTCGGGGCAGCAGCAGGAGCTCTGCCTGCCCATGGGTCCTGTCCCCATGCCAGCGGGGGCAGCAGAAGCAGCAGCAGCAGAAGCTCCGACTGCCCATGGGTCCTGTCCCCATGCTATTCTATTCTCTAAATAAAAGAGCACTACTGCCAGATCTTGAGAGTCCAAGAAATCTTTCTTTCGACTCCTCGGCTCACCGACCCCGCATCAGAAATGAGTTCTCAAAATAAAGTTTAAGAGGAGTGGTGGGGCCGACCCTGTGGCCAAGCGGTTAAGTCCGCAAGTTCCGCTCTGCTGGCCCAGGGTTTCGACGGTTCGGATCCTGGGCGCAGACATGGCACTGCTTGTCAGGCCATGTTGAGGCGGCGTCCCACATGACACAACTAGAAGGACATGCAATTAACACATACACCTAGGTACCCAGGGGATTTGGGGAGATAAAGTAGAAAAAAAAAAAGGTTGGCAACAGTTGTTAGCTCAGCTGCCAATCTTAACAACAAAAGAAAAAACAAAAAAGAGGGGAGGGAGAGATGAGAGGAGAAGAAGGGGTCTTTTTTTATTTTACTATATAATCTTTTTCCAGAGGTAGAAATTCTAAAATACTTTGGCTATTCCTTAAAGAGGGTTAAGAGTCACAAATTAGGAGAAATAGCTGGACCAAAAAGCACAGTATTAAATTATCAAATATGATGCTACCCTACAATTGCAGAGGTGACCAGCTGTCACTTGAATATGTCATGGAGCTTGGGACAGCGTTTTGCTTCCTAATTCAAAAAGTTCTTCACTTCTACTTTCAGATACATTCTTTTTAAAGAGAAAAAGAAACTTGTAATATGAATTTTCTTGTTTCAAAAGTAATATACAGATTTTACCTAGTAAAATATGGGATAAAAGGCACATTGACTCCATTTGCCTGACTGAAACATACTAATACAAATAAAAATTAAACTCTCCCTCCCCCACCTTCAATGAAACCAGAAGAGGGCTACTTCCTTAAAACTCAATCTACAAGAAAATATCTGCTGGAAATAACGATTCTCAAACAAATCAAGGAAAGAAGTCCAGCCACTCCATTGGCTGGCTAATTTCTAAAGATCTCAAATAAACAAAATCTTAGATAATTTGATAACTCTTTCTAGGTTCTTCCATTCTCAGCTCCCTAAACATTTCAAATTTAAATAATTCCCAAAGGTGTCATTTTTAAAGGGATGTAGTTTTAGCGGAGATATCTTGAAGATTTGGAAAAAAACAGGTCTGTGCTGAGGGGAGCCAAAATTGATTTCTCGCTGTTCTCAGGTAATGAAGAAAAGTTGTGTTTTCTGACCTAAAACTAGAAGGCGTAAGTCCAAACTACAAACTTCTTTGATTTGGTTTTTAAAGAAGCAATATAACGATCTTCTTTCCCTACAGAAAATGTTTTAAAAAGTACAAAAGGCTTCCGTAGTTTGGTTCTATTCAGCTTAGATAAGCAGCCAAAAAGTTCTGAAGCCCAATCCAAAATTATTCTTAGTTTTACTTACCAAAAGATCAGATTAAATATCGCATAAGAATAGGCTTTCTTGGAAGATTTCTGCTTCAGAACTTCCTGCCTTTGGCATGAAACAAGGGCACCACAACGCTGTGAGAGTTGACTCAGGCTGGAGGGTGAGCAGTACCTAGAAGCCTGAGATCAAAATACGTTTGCATTGTCCTTCTGAATAACGCATAGGATTTGTTTTTGTCTATCTGAGACCAGCATACGATTTAAATACTATTTTGCCTCCTAATGATTTTAATGTAATAGTAACAAGAAAAATGTTTAACGGCTTAAAAATACTTTTACTCTCTGTTTGTCGAAATGTCGTTTTTCAAGAAGAAATCGTTTATCCTTGAGTGGAATACATACCCTTTAACCGCGTGATCACTACATTTCTTTTCGTGCTTCTGTGTGGTATAATTTTTGCACTTTAAATAGTACACTATTAAGACATGTGGAGGATATTTTTGACTGTATCATACCTATGGGGTATTTGGTTTTTAAACATAATATGATCTCTTAAAAGGTCTGGTATGGCAGAAACAAATTTAGAATAAAATTACTCTCTTAACCATATCCCTGAAATGGTTGGAATTCTAGCTGTGGATAAATCCCAATTCCTTTGGAGGTTCCTCTCCCCCTTGGGCCCGCCATCCTCAGTAATTAGGCTGCCAGCCTGCCAGCGCACCACTGCTGACAGTTCCTGCGTTGATTTACAGGGTTTGGAATTAAGGATTTTTTTCATGAGGGATGGTTGCCGAGCGTTTCCTAAGGCCTCCGAGTGCTACGAAGACTAGGCATTTTAAGTTTGGTGTTTACAAATTTTAAGCCATCCTAGATATTTGTATTCCTTTTTTCCATACTTTGAATCAACTATGTTGTAATTACTTGACTTAGATTTTTTTTCCTAAGTGAAATAAACCAGTCTGAAAAAGCCACATATTACGTGAGTCCAACTATCTGACATTCTGGAAAAGGCAAGACTGTAGAGACAGTACAATCATCAGTGGTTGCCAGAGGTTCACGGAGAAGGGGAAGGGATGAATATGTGAAGCAAAGGGGAGTTTTAGGGCAGTAAAACCATTCTGCATGACACTGTAATGGTAGATACATGACTTTAAGCATTTCACAAAAACCCATAGAACTTTACAGCACGAAGAGTCAACCTTAATGTATGCAAATTAAAAAATTATTTAGGAGGTTGACGGATTCCAGGAAGGAATGCAGATTGTAACAAGGGAATAAATCTGTATCCTGTATATCTGTAATATAAATGTATGAAACAACCTCACTGAAGGGCGTGGAGACAAAAGAGGCTGACCTAAAGGACTATGGAGATAAGCAGAGTCTGTCAGACTAAAGGTGAAAGGAACTGCGCGTAAGTCTGTACTCTAGCTGATTAAGTGGGTTCTCACGGGGGACAGGTAAGCAATGCTGCTGCTGATATTTATGTATTAGAATCGAGAAATTAAGAAAGTGGATGTCAGAGGATGGGGGTCAGATTTCTCACTATTGGAGTGGAATCTACAGGTAAACTGGGGAAGAGGCTAGAGTGGTCCACCTGTAACGGCTTAGAATTGCAATCAGCATGAACTCACGCTTAGCTTTGTATAGATAGAGATGGCTTCATACGGAAATATTTATAAAAATTTGTATATACAAGGGCTAGTATATATACACGTATTTCTTTGCTCTGTCAGCTGAGAGGGCCTAGAAGCAATATCCCAGTAGTGAAGAGCACACCTAGTGCCCAGATCTTGGTCTCTAACACCATTCCCCAATAAAAAGACCCAGGGCTCCTTGGAAAAATGGTTGATCCTAGGACTGGGAAAGGAAACATACAAGATGAACCTGGACCATCTTGTAGCGTCAAAAGGTAAGGACCTACTCAAAAACGAAACAAAATGCACTGATGGAGGTATGTCAAAGAAGGACAGAAGCCAACTGAAAGCGCTCCCAATGGCCAAAGCTGGACCAATCTGTGTAATAAAATCAATGAAGTAGTACCGGTTATAACCCAAAGTATGCAATAAATATCTAAGTCCATAATTATATACATAAATAATTGAATAAATTAATAAATGAGGGAGAAAAGACAGATCTCCTGTGCAGAAGATTTCCAAATAGTTTATGTAGATAGTGCACCCTCAAGGGGGGGGGGGCATAAACTCCCCCCTCTTTAAATGTGGTCTGTGCATAGTGACTTCCTTTCATAGAGGGCAGTGTGAAAAGGGGATGGATGGGGAGAGGAATTTTACAGTGGGGAAACCTGACAAATGCTGCTTCAGCCAGGTGGCGAAGGGCAACATCAGCAGTCATACATCCTCATCCTGTTGATGGTACTTACC